TATTAAAAAAGATCTGACGTTTCGACTCTTCATAGAGTCATTTTCAAAGAATATTACAGAACATTACTGTACTTTACGCATGAAATGTTGTGAAAAGGAAGAAGAATTTTGTCTGTATATATTGTGTGTTACTTGTAGACAGTCAGTCAGTAATTATATTATCAGTCCCTTTTTTTTCGCTCTTCATAACATTTCTTTATCCGCCTGGATCAATATTCCTTTTGCTCTTTCTCTGAGAAAGGCCGTCGGGAAACACAATCAAAGGTACAGATTTAATTGTACGATTTAAGTCAGGATTGAATGATGCTATTAACAAAGACTCTTCGACTAACAATCGATAATCAACTTTGTCCCTGTCCATTATACGCCAATTCTCCCAATCAGTACTATGAGAGGTATGTTCAACGTGTTTTTGTAGAGCAGACTTCACATCTTTAATGTCTGAATAATTATCAATCTCTTTGAGAATCTTTCGATCAGAGGTATTCATTAGTTTAACCTGTTCCGTTATTTTCTGAGTAGCTTTTATTTTAGCTACTCGAGCTGTTTTCACTGATTGTGTTGCTGTGGTCATAGGGGATGAATTCACATTAGATAATGACTGAGATGATTGAGAACTATAGGTATCTTTAGGTAATCCATGTTCATACAGTCGTCTACATGCTTGTCGTTTAGTTTTACCCATATACTGTGAAATACACATCGTTGTTTCTTCCCAAACTTTTCTAAGAACGAAACCACGTGAAACAAAACTTTTTGCACCATTAGATACCGCATTGAACAGAGCATTTTTTACGCTAATTAAATCACAAAAAAAGAACACTTCGATTTTTTGCTACTTGTTCGCTTGTATGCTCACTGTGGGAGGCCTTAAGTTAGTCTGTGAGAGGTGTTCTATGGATTATTGTTAAAACCTTAAAGTCTACATTCTAAAACATTGTTTATGTTGTTCACTCAATTTCTTTTGTACAATATCATCGTATCAACTCCACCACCACCATAAAAATTTTCTGGATCCGTCACTGGCTAGTAGGTCTGGTAAATATAGTCTTTTAATTTAAATTATTTGACATTATGACTTAATTTTTGAGCAGTTCCATCTTCAACAAGCGAATTGAAACGCTTTTCATCCATTTTCTTGTTTACAGAGCAGCTCGAAAGTTCATTATTTAACTAACCCGTACGCTTTGCTGTCCACATTGGCTACATAAAGAATAATGATCAACTTAATAATGACTCGATAATCTGGATATAAAATTAAGAGAGAAATGTTTACTGTTAAGCAGATAACTTTGGCATTAAAAGTACACCTAAGAAATTCGACAAATGACCAAATGTATGCAAGACATTGATCGGTGAATTTGGGGTAGAAGAATATGTAGATACTCAAATTATATTGAACTTATATTTTTTTTCTGTTTATTAGGTGTATATGGATCATTTGTCAGATCGAATAATCAAAATTTTGATTATATTATGTTAATTGATACTGAAGGGTTATTATCAACTGAAAAAGGCAATGAAGAATATGGTCGTCGATTGGTATTATTTTGTTTGGCTGTATCACATTTAGTTATTATTAATATATCAGGTCAAATCAGCGAGGAATTAAAGAAAATGCTGGAATTATGCGCTAATTCATTATCGCACCTTGGCGTTGATATAGTTCCAAAACCTGTGGTTCATTTTGTTTTAAATCAACAATCTAATCCAAATAGTAATAATCATCTTGAACCTATGCAAAAAATTTTAACAGATATCAAGAAAGATAAATTAAGTCAAAAGATTGATATTCGACCAGAAACATTTCATACATTACCATCGGCATTTCAAAAAGAACGTTTTTCTTTTGATCATAATGATAATGAAAAACCAAATATTTCACATACCGATCCAGAATTTCTAGAAGAAACACAAAAACTTTGTAATCTAGTTATTCTTTCAGCCAAATCCTATCTTGGACGTGTTGATGAACAATTTTCTGATTCATCTGGATGGTTAAGATTTGTTAAAACTATATTCGATACATTGCTAAAATTTCCCGATTTAACATATTTTACAGATATGAATGAAAAAAGACAAGACGCTAATATACGTCAATATCTTGAAAATAAATTTACTGATTTATTTAGTCCTAAATACAGACAAGAATTGATTGATCAAACGTCTCGTCAAAGTGAAAGGTCAATTACGGATTTATTTTTTGTCGAATTTGATAAACATTTAAGAAACATTGAACAAGATTTAGAAAATGTTCTTCAACTTAAAAAGGTAGCAGAAAGAATTTGAATAAGATTCAAATATTTTTTAAGAGCACAAATATTTAGTGAACGCGATGCATGGAAATTAGCTGCTATTAGAAATAATGATAAACTTAAAATTGATTTACTTTATTCGACATGTTGCTGAAGAATTAAGAATATTAATTGTTAAAACAGTTTCGAAAGGTCATAAAATGTCAATTAATGATGCAACACAAGAATTTAATAACATGTTTAACTTAAAACTTCAAATTATTAACGATAGTTTTAATCCTACTGATCATTTAAATCAAGCAGTAAAATTTATTTATGGTAATTATAATATATTTGAAAGAACATATCTAGTGGAAAAAGCAAATATATTACGATATATACCATTTATTCAAGATTTAATCTATGGGAAAATTTCAGATGATGGAATTACAGAATTGATAAAAGATGAAGACAAAAAAATTATAGCTGATTATTCAATGTTGGAAGAACATACATTTTTGATTGATCGATCCGATAAATACACATTAAATACAATAAAAAAATTTGAACATTTGAACAAGGACATATTAGAAGATGAGTATCATAACTATCACAAACAACTAAGACAAGATGCGATAATATTAGCAAAATAATCACAGCAGTATGAACAACAACAATACAAACGGCATAACAAATCGAAAGCCGTAACAACTCTATTTGATTGCTTTCCTCTCGGTTCAAATACTATACAATCGAATGAAAATATCTCATACACAAATGTCTTAAAGAAAAAGATGTTGGCATATGATCCAGTGACAAAATGGTCAGATGAATTTTACAATCATTTAAGAAAATTCTTATTACAAAGTAATATTATTACATCAAATAGAAATGATATTTTACTTAAAAATTCATATTTTAATTACATTATGAATAAAATAAATAATCTTATTATTATTCCAAATGAGATAGATCGTGGTCAGATTGATACTCATCTAATTCAACATATTGTCGGTTTAATACATAAATTGATTAAAGATATTAATCTAGAATTAAATATATTTAAATTATCATTATCAAGTCATGTTAAATCATTATTTCATACAATTGTCTTGATAACATTAACAAAATTTTATTTTGATGAACAAAAAAATCATTTTAATACTGTTTTATTAACAGTGAAAACACGAGAAGATAATTTATTAGAATATTTTATACTTATGATTGTTGCTGATACATCTTACGATGAAGAATTTAGTGCAAAACTAGTTAGTGGTGTTTATGAACAATTGGCAATAATTTTAAAACAAGATGCACAACAAATAATTGATGCACAAATACATAAACAAAACACATTAAATCGTATAACAATTCAAACTGAATGCGACAGTGATATTAGAAGGGCAAGTGATGATGAAGTTAATGAAATATATTTTAAAACCAACTGAGGTTATTGAAGAAAAATTCCATTGTAAATGGACAGAAACAGAAGATTCTACTATGAAAGAAATAAATGATAAAAAAATGAATTTTTTACTAAAATTGATTATATATGTGCAATTTTAAAAACAAAAGGTGCAGATTCACATCAATTTATCAATGATTCATTTGAGGTTTCAAGTGGAGAAGTTGATGAAAATTTAACAAATAAAGGAAAATGTATGTCAACATTATTATACCTTTATTTTTCTCAACAGCCTATACCCTCAACATTTATTGCATTTGATAAAACATATAGACTAAAACAAGATATTATTGATACTTTTAAAATGTTTGGTACACCTAGTCCAACACTAATTACATTAACAATAGCAATAAAAGACAAATATGATGATTGTTCAATAATAATCGTTATTTTTATCTTACCGAAGTATTTAAAATGAAACATGCAAGAGAAAATCTATTTTTAGATCAAGGAATGAGTTTTAATCATTTGGACACAAATGGAATAAAACTAAAATTATTACAAAAACTTCGTGATTGTGAAGTCAAATGTTCATGTTGTGGTCGCCAATGTGATGCTGATCACACAATATCAACAACAGCAGAAGGTAGTGAACATAATAAGCACAGTTGTCAAACTGGACATCAACTTCGAGCGATGGGTGGAATTAAATATGAAATAACAAATGCAGCACCATTGTCAATGTGCGAAAAACTTAAAGATAATGATTTAATAACAAATAAAGATGGTAATATTAGACAAAAATGGAGTGAATTTAAAAATCAGCATTCGGATTGGACTTTTGATACAAATAATATGAGTAAAAGTGAATTATTACGTATAAGAGCCAAATATACCGTTGTCTGGGCTAAAATTGGTGAAAAACTACGTAAATAGTATAATAATGGTATGGTATATGTTCAAAACAATACACGTAGTTTATTACTTAAATTCTGTCATTATATTTTATTACTGGATAATTCTAGATCAATGCGAGGTCAACCATGATCAGATCTAACAGCTGCTATAAAGGAATTTATTCGATTGCGTAGCAAAATAGTTAGTTTTGATCGTATTACAATTATGGTGTTTGGTGAAAAATATCAAACGTTTTGTTTTAATAAAGAGCTTTGTAATATTCCACCTTTCACATTGAATATTCCAGTTGGTAATGGTACAAATTTTCATAATGTATTTAAATTGGTTAATGATGTGATAAAAGAATTTAACTCAACCAATTACATGTTAGAGCTGCAAAATACAATTATATTTATGAGTGATGGACAAGCTGAATATCCTGAAGAAGAACTTGAAACATTAAAAACACAACATGGTAGAATAATTTTACAATTTTGGACAGTAACACTTGGTGAAAAAGATATGACAGTATTAGAAAAAATTAATACAAAAATGAACGGCGAATATAGAAATATAACAAATTCTGAAGATATAATACAAACTTATGCAAAAATTGCAATATCGTAAATAAATAAAATTTGTTTAGTTCAGTTAAACTGTATTTATTTTAAATAAAAAGTAAAAGAAGGAAGATTATTCGAGAATATGTAATCTTAAAGGTGGAATTGACAGAAGTCATTATACCTTCTCATTGATTACCATAAACTATAGCAAAAATAATATAAATAAATACGTCTTTGATGTTACAATATGCAAATAGAAATAACAAAATCTTAATCACGAAGAAAAGATAAAAAAGAATGAAAGAAAGAGGGATAGTAAGAGAGATTACATAACTTTTAGACGTAACATAGCAATTATCTGTCAACAACAAATCTTAAGGTTTTATTAATGTGTTCAACAACTAAACGACAGATAACACAATAATTATCTTCAGCAATTGTATTAGTTAACAATAACAGAATTTTAATGAGTAATATGGATTTGATATGGAATCATTTATAGATTCCAAAAGTTCAGCTCTCTGTACGTCGTAGAGAGAACGATGCAGTAAATGGTGTTTTACTGTTTTCTTCTCACCACAAACAATTTTTGTTGGGCACTAGTTCTTTGAGATAGAGATCATTATTTAATGGCGAGAAGTTGCATCGTATTTGGTAGTATAGTTTATCTATGTCACGTTTAACACCGTTAACTCGAAAGACCCTTACGTCTATTTGTGCATTAAGCTTTCTTTCGAAAGTTCTCAAAGTCTTGCATGCGCGCAATTTCATCGTTTAAATTTCTGGTAACTCATTAAACCTAATATTTATGAAAAGTTTCGTCAAGATCGAACGTACGGTGTCAGAGATAATTTCTGAGGGGAGGGCCTTTAATTCGTTCTATTTTTTTGATTGCATAAGGAGAAAACGACATTTCAAATGTTTTACTCATAAAACGTCTCTCTGTTTCTCAATTAGTCTGAATTTTCATTTCTACTTGTGTTCTAGTTTGATAATTATAATTATGGTGTAGAAGAGAAAGTTTGTTTGTTAAAAAACTAGATGCTAGTCCTCTCACTGTCTTAAACATAAGGAGAATTTTCTATTGATCAAAAAACTTGAATTATGTCTTGCCAGTCTAAAATCTGGAGTACTTTACTCCTACGCGTTAAATATAAGCAATCATTTCCAACTAAAGCAAACTTGTATCGTATACTAGATATTAAAGAAAGATTTTTAACACTAGTAGATGAATATAGAATCGAACCGTAAAGTAATATAGAATACGCATAACACTTAAAATTGATCTAAAACGGTAGTTTGAAATTTGTACTTGTACTTGTACATTAAATATAAAATTTTGTTACATCTTGTAATTACGTAATCAATGCGTTTTTTCCAATTTAATGAAGGCGTTAAAAAAAGACCTAAATGTTTATGACCGAAACCGTCAAAAAGAGCAGTTCCATTTATTATAAGCGGTAATTGTAACGTATCAAATACTCGCTTACTAAAAGTCATTGATCCACATTTCTTAACATTAAGATCTGTCTGCTAATACAAGGACCATAAACGCATTTTTAATCCTCATTCAAAATCTGAGTTGCTTTTTGAATTGAACTACCAGTAACGTGCAACAAAGCATCAACAGCAAACAATCTCGTTAGTGGTTTCAGAGTTAAGGCAATATCATCAATATAAATGAGAAATAACAGGGGTCCTAAAACAGATCTCTGTGAGACTCCACGATTAATCTTTCTCCTAGAGGAAGTAGTACCGTTCATTCATGCTTCTATAAATCTATCAGAAAGATATGAAGAAAACCATTTTAACATATTAGATGATACACCATTTTGTTTTAGCTTGTAACCGTTAACCCGTTGCATGCCCAATCGCAGTTATACCTTTTACCTGTCATTACTCTGCACTATTTTTAAAATAATGAAATCATATATAATGAAAGAAGGGAATGAATTTTGTAGAGCAGAAAATTCTCTAACGAACAAGTTTATAATGGAATCTTCGAACCTCAGTATGGTCGGAAGAAAAGAGAACAAAAGTGTGTTATTATTTCTGGCTAGGCATGCAACAATCCCAAACTAGGAATCGCTGATCGGCACCGAACGGTTTGTTACCGAACATGTTCGGTCACCAAACCGTTCGTAACCGAACATGTTCGCTGCCGATCAGCGAGCCCTAGCTTGGGATGGTTGCATGCCTGATCTGGACTAAAGGCAAATTGAATGAAACTGAAGCTTTTGAAGGAACTAACCAGTGAGAAAATAGACTAAAGTACAATGTGAGCGAATGTGTCTTCTACTGAATCGCTACC